TATACGTATTCACGAAGTCAATCCAGTTTTTCCCTGCAACCCAACCCCGTCAATATGTTCACTCAATATGTTTTTAATTAAAACTTCAATTATTATTTTTTAAACTTTATATATGCATCATTGATGTCATTTGAAAGATCATAAAAAGTTATGAAATTTGGTATGTTTTTTATAAAATTTGGATTATAAACAAAAAAGTTATAACCATTTAAATAAAAAAAGTGTTTTGTTTTATCTTTGGTCCCACATCCTGCTGCTCTCCCTTGATGCAACATGCGCTGCCTTCGATGCTCTCTCTTTTGTTGGCAAGAGTCGATATGGGGCATAGCTATCCCTCCCATGGGTTTTCCATACTCCCTGTGGCTCCCTCTTATACATAATTTTGTTTGGGTTGAAGCTTAATTGGGGTGAATAGCTCAAATTTGGGGCTTTCACCCCACCGGTTGCGGACAGCCTAACACGCCAAAAAATGGCCTTTTGCCCAACAAGCCACAATACAAACACGAATTTGATCCAATTTCAAAATGTATAAATACATTACTCGAATAATGAATAACTATCAATCTAGGATCTAACATTTCATAGATTTTGATTTATTTAATTTTTTATTAATTCCATTGCTAATATTAGATGATTTTTTCACAAAAAAATTATTAGTTTAATAAAACTAAATAGTATTTAAATTTTTAAAAATAAAAACATTAATAAAATTTCTAAAAACTTAGGTTCTATATTGATAGATACTCTAAAATCAAAATGCAAGTTACTCTCTTCGTCCCATTTTACATGTCCTACTTTCTTTTTTGCGTTGTTCCAAAATAAGTGTCACTTTTCGATTTTCGGAAAGAAATATGTGATTCACAACATTTCACTTTACTATACTCAAATCTCAACCACAACTTTTACCTTTTCAATCACTTTATTAAAAATTGTGTCAAAACCAAAGGAGACACGTAAAATGGGACTACTTACTAGCCGTTTCAGATGCCCTCAACGACTATACCAACCATCAACGACTAGCAGTGGCGGAGCCAGAGGTTTGTCCAAGCGGGGGCGTACGGAAGACTAAAAATTTTAAAATCCGTATCCAAAATATAATAAGAAAAACAATAGCGTAATAAATTAGCACAAAAGTATAGTTCAATACATACTACTTGATTCATTTCTGCAAACTAGGCAAATCAATCCTACGAGTTTTCATATTTTGAACATGCTGCATAATAGCTTCATTATCAATTGCTTGAAAAATGTCTCTTTCGATGTAGCATACTAAACAATCCGTAAGAGAGACATCTCTCATCTTATTGCGAAGATCTGTCTTGATAATATTCATTGCTGAGAAGGCTCTATTTTTATTAATTAAACATTACATTCTTCATTTGCTCAATTATACTCCTTTTATTTTATATTCCAATTTTAGATTATTTTTTTATTAATTCTATTTTATTCTATTTTAATACATACGGAGTAATTTAAAATTAATCTTAAGTAGTACTAATTTTTATTACAAAAAGAAGTGGGGCGTGAAATATATTATAATACAAAAATTCCTTTTGTACATGTTTTTGTACCCATCAGTACACGCATGTGTCTGTGAGAGTTTTTTTTTTGTCTGTGAAGTGCGGTCCACAGACAAAAGCTGGTTTGTTTTGTCTGTGAAATTTTCTACAGACAAAACAAGCGAACTTATGTCTGTGGACCGCGCTTCACAGACAAAAAAAAACTCTCACAGACACATGCGTGTACTGATGGGTACAAAAACGTGTACACCTAGAATGGTTGATTATAATAATACTAGTAAAAAAATTGGTCGAACCAAATACCAATGTGACGTTTTCTACTTATCTTCTAATCATTAAATTCGTTCATCCTTAACTTTTGTTGAAAGACATGCCAAAATAGGATACATTTGATTGGAAACACTGTTCAAGAAAATCTTTTACTTTTAGGTAGATTCTATGGTATCCATAAGGTATCATACCTTTGTCCACATGGACCAATGAGAATGTAGCAGTTGAATTATTTAAATCTAAATTAAAAATGATAAAGTGGTGTAGTCCAATCAAATGAATGATAGGTATGATTCCCCATATTTTAGAAAGGTACCGGAGTTGTCACCTTACTTTTATATAATAGATGTTTTGAATAAATTTAAACCAAGACGTTCCTTTAATAATTTTTTCAGTGGTCCTTAAATAAGTTATACTCCGTATAAAGTTTAAACTTATATAATTTGTAGCTAATACGTACGGAGTATTTTTGAATTGAATGCGCTGTTTTTATTAACCTTCTTCCAATATCTTATTTTTTTGAGGGGAATTGGTTGATTCAGTCCCGTAACTTATAGTTATACCCGTTATTGGTCCTCTAACTTTAGTGACTTGTAGATAACATCCCCTAACTATTAAGTTGGTGCAATTTTGATCCTTTTCTGTCGGAACTTACTAATTTTGGTGCAATTTTGGTCAATATTTAGAACTCATCTGCACTTTGGCCCTTTTTTCACAAGTCTTTTAAAAAGAGTGTACGCAACTGTTATATACACAGATACACTTTCGTTTTAAAATTCAAGATCGTGGACCAGAACATGGTAATTTTAATAGCAGAATCTAAAATTTTAAATACACTTTAATTTTTAAACGAATTAATTATAAATTTCACGTGCAAATGTTATTCTTAAATTTATAGTTTATTTGGTAAAAAATATAAGCAGCAACAACAACATCCAAGTCTTAGTTTATTGGGGTCGACTAACATGAATCGATACATAATATCACCATCAAAAGGAAAAGAAAGAAATTGAAGATAAAAAATAAGCTATTATAAAAAAGATAATATAAAATGGGATGAATTTACTTAAAAATGATAAAATAAAACGGGTAAAAATAATGTTTATATATATAAGGATAAAAGAATAAAAAACAAGAAAAAAAGATGAGGGGAAATAATAATAATACGAGATCACTCCTCCACACGAATACCCGCCCTTCACTTTGCTCTCTCCAAGCATATCACTTGATAAAAAATGGAAGCAAATCAACTAAATTAAAGAAGTTGAACTTCTTACTCTGTTTCTAGCACACACGTGAATCCTCTTTCCAGGATTGCTATCGGTCCAATTAAGAAGTTAAAAGAGAAACATTTTTACCACAATAACACTCCATAAATCCTTATTTGAGAACCATTACTATCAAATTTTGAAGAATAACTCACTCTCCCAACTAAATCCAGGAGAAATCTCCAGGTTGGGTTACACGTTCTTTCCCCCCTTTTGTAGATCCGGTAATAGGTTATGCGCAGTAATAGGGTTTTCTTTCTTTGATAGAGAGATGATTTTCTTACTCCAACTAAGGGGCAAAGTTGAGTCAGCAAATGGGTTCCAAATGATTGACCTGCTGGCAAGTGGCATTTCCTTTTCCGGCGAAATTGGTAAGTTCCGGAAGAGAAGGACCAAAATTGCACCAACTTATTAGTTACGGGATGTAATTTGCAAGTTACTAAAGTTATAGGACCAATAACGGGTATAACTATAAATTACGGGACTAAATCAACAAATTTCTCTTTTTTTGATCATCAAATCCAACTCTTATATTAAATCATCAGGAAGTAGATCGTTACAACAGACTCAAAAAGACCAATCTTGACAAAAACTATCCCTAACCAACTATCACAATCAACCCTACGGCTAGACTCTGAGACGATCACCCCCGAAAGAGCAATACAAATCGCTAACCACCAAGCGGGTGTGACACAGCAATCACTGGCTATATAGATCCTTCTAACGGCATAAAATATAGCAGAATTGACAATCATTATTGTAGACCCAAACCTAAAGACTTCAACAAACATAACATGAAAATAAGACCATAGAAAATAGAATAACGGACAAATACTCCAAACTTCTTAAAATTTCACCTTCCACACCCCGACATCTTGATCAATCCAATATCTTATTTTATACTCCGTAGAATAATACGGAGTATATTTTTATCATAGTTTTATTTTTATTTTATGCAAGTGGAATTCTATTTATGTAACTATACAAATAAAAAATCACGGTGACTAAATATTACGGAGTATTACATTTTTTAGTTTAATGCACGTAAGATGTTTTAAACAGATTGTAATTTTCTACTTTAGTCTGGTAGATGTATGTTTTCATCTGATATAATCTAATTTGGTTTGGTCTTATGATTTCTGATCTAGTCTGTGTCTGAAATCAATCGAGCAAAAACGTTTATAAAATTCCTTTATAAAATGTCATCTGTTAATCCACTTTTTATCTGTTCTTGAAAGTCTAGAAACAACATTTTGATCATTCTTTTTTATACTTTAAAGATGTATCTAAGGATTCCAAACTTTCTGTACACTCTTAACAAGTGGAAGCTAATTCCCAACTTTTTTAACGGCAAAAAGTACAAACAAAAAGGACAAATAAGAAATAAGAGACTTCTAAATTTATGACCCAATACAGAGTTTCCAATAAGAAAAACGAAGTTTTGTTAGGATGTTTTCAGTCCTAGACCAGACCAGACTTAAACAGACCAGACCAGACCAGACTTAAACAGACCAGACCAGACTTAAACAGACCAGACCAGACCAGACCAGACTTCCGTAGTTATAAAATTATAAAATACACAGAGACCAGACGTTTACCAGACCAGACCAGACCAGACCAGTTCAGACCAGACCAGCAAATTTCAGTCCAAAAGAAAACATCCTTAACCCCTAACCAATAAAGTCATAATTTGGGCAAATAATGGTATTAAAAGGACAAAGATCACTATAATCTCAGGTGAAACTGGATCTTCAGCAATTCCTAGAAAATCTCAAGTGGGTGAAACCGTGAGATTGAAATAAGAATTTTTGTTGTCAAGTAAAATTTACCCTGCAGTTTTTGAAGAAAATTTACATCATCATCAGCAGATTGCTTGTAAGAGAATACCATATTTATCCTACATTTTGGTTAATAAATTTGTTAAGACATGAAAAGATGGTGTCAATGTCTCTGGGCATTACAACAAAGTAACAAATACGGAGTATAATGCTCACTGTTCAGTCTCCTCCCCATGGGCAGAAGACCAATATAATAGAAAGCCTGGTATTCTATAAGGCAGTATACAAATAAGGTAGTATAAAATTTCTTATTTGCGTATTCATGTGTAAACCGTCAAGCCTATAGAATAAATCCGATAAAAACATTAAAAGTTCAAATTTCCCGCTTCCAAAACAACAAAAAAACACCACTAATTGCAATAATAATAACGTCTAATAACACGAGTATACTGAATTTCCTGAGAAGCTTCTTGGAGGCCACCGCGGCCGCCGCCCTCGCCTCAGGATCGTCCTCCGCTGGAGGAATGATGTCTACCAGGAGATTACACTGCAATTCGTAACAGCGCATTTTGTCAATCAATTTGTCGGCAACAGCATTCATGACATCATCGTCAATCTGCCATTTACGCAGATCCCGGGAATTGCGGACGAATCGACGCTGGGACTCCTGAGACTCTGATAGTAAATCGGCCGGCAAAGTGATGGTCGAGATCTGATCTTTCCAGGAGAAACGGGCATGAATATGGGAGCTGGGGACAAAGCAGTTTGTGGTGCCGTCGTGCGGCCTGACTACAAAACACGGTTTATTGAAATCTTCATCCTCCATATTCTTTGTTTCTTCTTTCTTCTGATAATAAATAAGTATACCTTGGGTTTAAGCGTTGGTAGAATGGTAGAACGGTAGAAGCCGATCGGTATATATAATACGGAGTACTTATGCAAATACAGTCCCAGACGGCAAGAATCGACTATTTTTTCGTATCCTTGAGTCCTTCCGCCGGCAGTTGAGCACTGCCCTAACAACCCGTACGTACTATCCCCTTAACTCACGGGAGATTTAATTTCAACAAGTAGAACAACACAGGGGTGTTTGGATCTGATTCTTAGGGAGAAAAAATAGAAGTTGGAGGGTTTGGGTGGAAGTGCAGAAGTACTTCTGGTGCCCTAATTTACTCCTAGAATCAGTTTTTTTAGAAGCTGGGGGAGACCAGCTTCTGCAAACTGATTCTGATTCTGCTTCTGCTTTAAAAAAGAAGTAGAAGCAGAATCAATTCCAAACACCCTAATAATTTTCTAAAATTAAGACTATATATTAGGGTAAGACTTAAGTACACATGCTTTGACCAAATTGCCCTTCTTTTTTTTAGAACTTGTCTTTCGTTTAAAAATCTGTTGTGCATCAAACAACTTCACCGATCGCCACCCTTGCGCATCCCCTGACCTTCGTTTCAAACAACTTCATCGATTCAGATCGATCGAATTACCACCGCCGCTGATTTCATGATGTCGAAATCACCGTCGCCGACGCACTGGATAGCTGCTCCGGTTGACTTCATCTGAAGCCACCGCCAAAGGTTTCTTCTTCCTCATCTTCTTCTTCTTCTTTTCTAATTTTGGACATTGATTTTGCCAATTTCGAACTTCTATTTCATATTTTCACAAAGGCCACCAAGTACTCTGCAAAACGTTTGAAAAAATTAGATCCAAAATCAAACTTGCAAACACTAGACAATACACAAACATTAAGTAGTCAGTAAACAGACAATAAGTTCTAATAATAGTTCAATATCAGGCAATATATAGACAGTAAGTAGTCATTAAACAGACAATAAGTTTTGATAATAGCTCAATAGCAGAGCAGGTCACGTAAAACAATATATATACAATTCACTATATCTAATGATGAAATTACATCGAGTGGTTGTCAAAAACTCCGCAAAGAAGCAAAATAGGTAATCTAGCCCTCTCTAAAATCGTCGAAGGCCATTAATGGTGGAGCCGTAGACTCCGAAGCCAAGATCCGGCGGAATTTCACCGATGTATCCGGCCAAAACCAGGTTGGTGAGGCCATGTCGATCGATTTCAAGCTCTTCCAGATCGATTTTAGTACCAGTGAAGGGGGAGAGACGAAAAACGAGAGTCTGGGAAATCTTGGGATCGGAAGTCGCTCTGTATTTTTTCTTCTTCAGATGGATTACTCAAGTCAAGGGTAAAAATGGGAAGTGAAAATATGATTTTCTAGAACAGGACCATTTAAGTCACACGCATGGAAAAAACATAAATGAGTTCTATTTTTGTAATCTTTTTATATTTTACTCCTGCAGGAAACAATTTCCTCTTAACTCAATCCGCTTAATTATCCCCTTGAGTCAATCCAATTCCAAATTACACGATCTATTGGTTTACATCTTTAATTTTAATCAACTTTGGTACATAATTATTGGTTTTCACTCATACACGATCATTATCCAATGGTTAAAATCGGTGGAGATATAGGGAAAATTGTAGATTAAAATCCGTAAGACCAAAAGTGAAATTATATTCCACCATTATAAATTGGTAAAATTCACGAAATATGAATAACAATGTTATGAAGTTATAAAACAAAATTGTCATATACTGATATACTTCCTCCGCCTCCCTAATATTGGGACGGAAGATAGTGATGTGGTTGATAATAAGTTTATAAAGTGAGATTAAAGTAAGAATGAATTAGAGTCACACAAATGTTACCAAATATGATATGAGACAATAATAGGGGAACATCCGAAAATGAAAAATGGGACAATTATAGGGAGACGGAGAGAGTATTTCTTTTCTAAATAAGATTAATTACTGTCAAAATTAGATAATATTGTTATGTTTGAAATAAAACACAATAGTCATATTTTCTTGGAATTTATAAACGTTTTTTAAGATGTTTTTACTTGATTGATTTTATTCGCAAAGCAGCTCCGATCGTATCAGACTATATTAGATCAGATTAGATTAGATAAGACAAAAACATACATTTTCCAAACCAGACTAGAAATTAAAAACATATTACGTGCATTAGAAACATATTACGATCTAATTAAAAACATATTACTTGCTTTTTACAAAAAGTTGTGATAATATTTTAGTCACCTCTTTTTAGATTTTGTAGCGTAAATAGAATTCTACTTGTATAAATAAAAAATAAAAAATAAATAAGAATATATTATTCTGTAAAATAACTTCTAACTTCAAACTTCAGTTTTTTAAATTTCTGGATTATAAAATATTCTAGGTATTAATGTTTTTTTCTATTTTTAACTTTTAAGATGAATATTGAATGTTTATTAGTTTAGTAAATATTGTGTATTATTGCTAACATGAGTTTTGTTTTATATTAAAATGAGTATAGTGTAAAATAAATGTGCATTACTAAATATTATAAAAACAACAAGATTATATTTGTAAATCAAGAACCTACTAGATGTACAGATTATAAAAACAACAAGACTATAAACTATTTTTGATAAAACGTTTTTATATTTCTCGTTGTTATATATAATGAAAGTTTATTATATTGTTAATAACGAACCTACAAGATGTACATATTATAAAAATGAATTTATGTTATATTCGAATGAGTATAACGATTAAAGAAATGAGCATACAAATAAATATTTGGATGCATTAGAGAATTCAAAGGCGCTAATGAAATTTTTTATGTTTATTTTGTAAGTTACGTATGGTCATATAGTATTGGTTTTATGCTCAATTTAAAATGTCATATTAATTATATTTCAAAACTATCATATCACATTGAATTCACATGAAAGTTGATTGTAGACACTAGCGTAGAAATCACGATACTCAATTGCATTCTTAATTATAATATTCAGTAAAGGAGATTTAATGCTCAATGAAAATGTCTTGATGTTCGACTAACAAAGCTTGTGTTTTTCATATCATTTCTCAATTGGTAAGTTATGTATGTTCATTTGGTACTGATGTTATGCTCATATTAAAATGTTATATCAATGCATATTTCAAAAGTAGCATATTACATTAGATTCAGACATTGAACTTAGATAAGTGTCTATAAAAGAAAATATGAATCAGAAGATATGAAACAGAGATTATGATGCTTAATATTAAACTTCTAATACTCAATATAATAGGTCTAGTGTTAATTAAAAGTTCATTAATGCTCATTTAACAGTTATTTTAATCTTAATATAGGAGGATTGATGTTGAATTAACAGTACAATAATGCTCATTTAGATTTTCACATTAATTACAAAATGTCACCGAAATATTTTGTTATTTTTTTCCTTGGGCATGTTACGTATGGACTTATTATGTGCGTGCTTCGCTACCTATTATTTTGTTCCTTGTTGGACCGGTTATACAGTGCTCACCGTATAGCCGGATGTATAATATACGCACTCGACTTTATACAGAGTAATAGAGTATAACTATTAAAGGAGTAAAGGGTCAGTTTTATTTGGTCCTCGAAGTTGCATAAAAGGAGTCAAATAAGTCCTTATATAGGAGGATCTGTCTCGCCGTCGCCATTTGGGGTAGTTCCCAGGGGATTTTTTGAGCATCTTATTCATTAAATCTAGTTCACTCATATCAAATTTCAGATAAAAATTCAATCGGGAAGACATTCAAATGACTTCTCGAAGATAACTGTGCAGTTAAAAGCGCAGTTATCTTCAAGAATTCATTTGAATGCCTTCCCGATTGAATGTTTAGCTGAAATTTGGTATGAGTAAACTAGACTTAATGAATAAGATTCTCAAAACATTTCATCAAAAAATTTCATCGGGAACCGCCCCAAATGACGACGACCGGATAGAATCTCCTATATAATTAAGGACTTCGAGGACCAAACTGATCCTTTACTCCTTATTAAAGGAACGGCTTGGTTTAAAATTTTAAATTTATCGAAACACAAGTAAAAAACAACTTGTATTCTTTCAAAAAACAACTTGTCTTTTGACTTGAGAAGTCACTTCTTTATTCGAGACAATTCAATAGTACTAATTAACTACAATTAGGAAATTATTATTATCATTATATACGAGTATATTGTTACTGTTACATATGTAATTAGAATTGTTAAAACATTGTACTTTTTTGCCTTATGTGTACAGTCACCGAGTCACATAATAACTTTTTCCTAAGGATGGACTGGGACGGATCAGCCCGACCTGGGATCCAGCCAAGTACTGTGCAGGCCCGGCCCGGTCAACCGGTACCGGGACCAAGACTGGGGGCTGAACCGGGAGAGATTGGGGCGGGCTATGGGCTGATGAAATGGTGGACCAGACTGGCCGGTCTGGGCCCAATTTATTTATTTTTAAAATTTTTTCCCTCTAGGTGTGGTTGGGTGGTTTGGGGGGTGGGAATAATAAATCCGAAAAGACAAAAAAAAATTAAAAAAAAATGGACCCAACCCAATCCCCGGACTCCCGGTACAAACCCGGGCCGGTACCGGGCCCGCAATCCAATTTTTTGTCCCGCCCAATCCTGGCCCGGGGTCCGGTCCAAGCCCAGTCCACCCCTACTTTTCCCAATGACTTGGAATATATTGTGAAACTTTGAAAGGTAGGTATAGCTGTATGAGTCTGTATACTGTACAGCCGGCTGTACAGTGACCATTGTACAGTCGGTGGCAAACTTGTAATTTTTGTGAAAATCGCGGATTCTCTTAAATGAGCATTGATGCAATTTTGATGAGCATCATATCTGTTCTTTTGAGTATCAGGAGTCTAACGGTGAGCATCTGTGATCTCTACTTAATACATTATATATCACTTTCTGTTTATTACTTTTTCGTTTATTAAAAAGTCTTAAGTTATGTCTATAATCAATTTAAAAATGTGAATCTAATGTAGTATGATATATTTGAAATGTGCAACATTTTAAAATGAGCAATTGAGCATAAAGCAGTACCAAATGATCACACATAACTTACAAAATGAGTATCAAAAAATCAAAAGTTCATATGTGTGTGCTCATTCGTTTTGGGCGTTTTACTCAT